AGTCATCAACATTGTTAACTATAAGAGGCATATCAATAGTATTAATAGGAGTGGAATTTACCTCATTAGTTTCTCCATTTTTTACATTCCCATTGGGCTCAACGGTCGGATCCGAGGAAGTGGAGAGCTCATGGCTGGGTTGGTAATTAGAAGAGGAGTTGTCATCACTATCAAGCTCTGGATCCGAGGTAGGCTCAACATTCTCTCTGGCTTGTGTTTTGGCCTTAAGCCGTGCAGAGGCCTTTGTAGGAGCAGGGTTGCCCATCTTCTTAGTCTTTCCTTTAGGCATGATGAACGTAGGGGAAGCTAAAGAAGTAGCCACCCCCACAAACCAGAAGAAGGTAGAAAAGAAACACAGGAAAAGAGGCTCACTATTCACCAAGAACTGGACGAGGAAGAGAACGGACGAAACAGAAATCAAGCTTGATGGTGGTGGAAAACAGGTTTGCTTGATCCTCAAGGATAGGGGAAGCTCAATCCATGCTCAAACCAAAGATTCATGATCGGATGGCGGAGATATGGCCGTTGACTTAATAACGTGAATAGTAACCTCCGGGAACAAACAAGCCAGAAACAGGGTAAGGAACCCAAAAAAGAGCTCAAAAAAAAAGAGGCCTTACACCCCAGGAAGATGGAAGTGTAAACCCAGTAAAATCCAAGCTCAGAAAACAGGAATCAAAGGCAGATAATCCTCCGAGAGTTCTTTGAGCATTAGGAGTTTCCCAAATACGGTGTAAGGTCCCTCGAGTAGTACCTTCGATCTATCCTCTTCATTTTGAAACTTAAAAATTATCCAGCCCTTATTATGCGACCTTACAAGGCATTTTACCCCCCATTTAGCTTTCAACTCGTGGACCGCTTTGAGTCCGGGGAATTTACCGGTGAAGTGTCCCACTAGGCAGTAGCCCCACATTTCAACCATCGAGGGTAGTACTCGGTCACCAAAGTCCAGTATTTCGCCTTTCGGTGGAACATATTTCAACTTAATCCCATTTTTTGGATCACGGTTGTCTCTAAACATGGAGTTCCAAGCAGCAGGATGAACCCCTTCATGTTTTTCTGCCAGCATATAAGTCTGGCCAGCACCTCCTTCAATCGTTTTTGCTACTAGAGTAGCTGCTGTCCCAGCTTTAGTAACAACCTGTACCTCAGGAGCAGGAGTGACATTAGTAGCATTAGCCCCTGCAGCAGTAGTTTTTTTTTCCAGGCTAGCGAGAGACTCCCCTGCACAAGTCGAATGTCCTGCCTCAATGGAACCCGCCCCAGGTTGTAACACTTGAGATTTAATATAAACGGATTAATAGTACTACTCATACCAACAGAGGTGCATCTCCTTTTAAGGGAGCTCATTCCCCAAGAACTCCAAAGTTAAGCGTGCTTGCACGGGAGTAGTCTTGGGATGGGTGACCCCCTGGGAAGTTTCTCAGGGCGCGCATGAGTGAGGACAAAGTGCGCGGTAAAGGCTCGTGGTGGTTTGTGGGGACAGTACTATTGGTCCGGAGTAACTACCTCGGGTCCCACGGGGCCGGGGTGTTACAGGTGGTATCAGAGCAACCCCGCGACAGTGTGATGACCCGTTGGAAATCGGGCGGGCACTTAGCGGGGGAAGATTCTGGGATTTGATTGAGATTTGAGATTGGTTTATGGGCGCAACGAGGACGTTGCGTTCCTAAGTGAGGGTGATTGTAACACTTGAGATTTAATATAAACGGATTAATAGTACTACTCATACCAACAGAGGTGCATCTCCTTTTAAGGGAGCTCATTCCCCAAGAACTCCAAAGTTAAGCGTGCTTGCACGGGAGTAGTCTTGGGATGGGTGACCCCCTGGGAAGTTTCTCAGGGCGCGCATGAGTGAGGACAAAGTGCGCGGTAAAGGCTCGTGGTGGTTTGTGGGGACAGTACTATTGGTCCGGAGTAACTACCTCGGGTCCGGTGGGGTCGGGGTGTTACACAGGTAGCTTAAGAACTGGGAATTCTTCATCTATGTTAGCAAGAAGGGAGAGCTTGGACCTAGTAGCACGCCCAGTTGGTGGCTCCACGGGCTTCTTCCTCACCATAATTCGCAGCTTTCTTGAAACCGAGACAACCAGTCGGCTATGAGCAGTGTTTCTTCATCAGACTAGTCAGAAACAGAGCTTCAAACTTTTAGAGTTCGCACCCCTTAAGAAACCATCGTTCTTAGAGCTGCGATTTCCAGAATAGGCAGGACCAGAAAATCAACTTTCCTTGATGATCAAATCAAGTTTATTTGCTTAATTGTCACACCCAGGGGAGCCTAAAGACACTTTCCAATCGAAGATTGAGCCAAAGAAACGAGAGATACAGGTGTTGACCTTCTCGCGTGAACAGTAATTCCGCGTGAGATTTTGAGTAAAACCAGTCCAAAAAGCTCAAAACTGAGCTTGAAAATTGCAACAATTACACCCCAATGAATTTTAGGATGAAATCCAACCAATATCCAAGCTTGACGATGCGAATGGGTGGAAAATCGAGTGATTTTTGGGAAAGTACGTAGAAGAGCCTCGAAAGAGGGAGAGAATCAGCTCTCAACTTCTAACCCAAAGCAGCTCTTTCAAAGTACGTTACTTCTCTCTTTATAAACTAGTAACAAAGGGGGGTTTAGGTTTGAGTGATTTAATTAAAATTTAAACACGAAGATGAACGAGTTATGTGATTTAATTAATGAGAAGAATACTTGGCTTTGCTTTTATCCACTTAATGAAATGTTCGTCAATCCTGGTTATATCTTTAACTATCTTCCTCTCGAATACTCAATCGAGGAGTATATCCAGTTCATCGAGGGTAGTTATTAATAACGAGAAGCGTTCATTAACAAAACTTACTATCGAGTCAATATAGAACAAGCGCCGTATATTAACTTGATAGTAGCAATAAACTTAAGATGAAAACGATTGAGATTGATAACTTCAACACAAGCGGTTTATTGGTTTAATCAATATAATTAATTCCCCTTAGATTATTAACCATGAGAAGCATGCATTAGCAATCCAAGTTTACTACCATTGAAAGAACCGAATTAATAACAAGCGTATTAATCGATTGATTCTAGTAATAATTAATATATAGAACAAGACTAGTTGATACTTTAAGTAATGCTCAATATATTAATATGGAATATGAATAGGAAGTAATTAATATTCAAGAAAGAAGATTAAAGAAAATAACTCACAACTTACAAATCATTAAGCTTCAAATCACAACTTACAAATCATGAAGTGGAAAGAAGGGGATGTGCCTCTCACATTTTTCTCCATTGAAGAGAGAAGCAGCCAACGAAAATAAAAGGAAAAGGAAAAAAGAGTAGAAATCAAAGTAGGAGGAGAGGATAAGCGGAGACTGAGACTTCAAAGGGGAGAATGAAAAACAGAAAAAAGAAAGAGCAGAGCTTCGAGCGAGAAGTTGGAGCACGGAGTAGATGTAAGTTTTGGTTTTGAGGAAGAAAGAAAAAAACGAAAAGAAGAAAAGAAAACTAAAACAAAAACAAAAGAAAAATTGAACAAACTATAGTCCAATTAAGAAAATACACATGGCGAGGTAACCTACTTAAAAGGTTTATGCAGGTCACGGTTTCCCTGACTAATACACTGCCATATGCAAAAAAATAAATAAGAAATCTTTGGAGCACCCCTTGCAAAATGTCACCTTATGTAACTCCCATGTGCTCTGGGCTTGTATGAGTAAAACTAAAACACTTAAACCTTCGGCCACCAAAATAACCAAAATAAATAGATACAACAACAAAGGACCTTCTTGTCTCAACCCCCTTCTGGTACATGCAATAGATCTCACCAACTCCTTGTCAATTTGAAAAGAATAGCTAATTGTCAAAGTACATTCCATGATTAACCGGATCATCTTACCTTCTGTCATATTCACTTGCAGTAAAGGTGCCTTGACTCGCATCCTAATAATTCTCCTTCTTTGCTTAAACGCGTTATGGAAAAACTTTAAATTTATATCTCACCCACGGAGCTATTTTTTTTTTTTTAGCGTTGTCGCCAATAAAAGTTTAAACACTCTCTCCTCTAGTTGGATATTGCCATATCTGAGCAGAAGAATTATGAAGTATAAAAAATGTGATGACTGAAAAGATAGATATAACCACACATTATTAACTTTCAATGGAAAGTAATAAAGCTTCTATTATCATGTTTAATTTACACATTAAAAATTTACATTAAAACTTTGCATGCAAACTGTGTACTTTGTAGTCATGGACCCGGTTCGGGCCGCCCGGCCCGCTACTGTGCGGGCCCGGAACCGGCCCGGCCCGCTACTGTGCGGGCCCGGAACCGGCCCGGTTCTCGGGTTCGGGTCGGGCCTAGGCCCGGTGGGAGGGGAGGTCCGGGCTCGGGCCTTGTATTTGGCGAACCGGCCCGGCCGGGTCGGGTCCGGGCCGAATTGATTTTTTTTTCCTTCATTTTTTGGGGTTACCCGGGTTGGGCTTGATGGTTAGGAGGGGTTTGGGGGGGGTGGGGGGGGGGGTGAGGGGGGGTTAGGAAAGCAAAAAAAAAGAGACCAAACCGGAGGCCCGGCCCGGCCCCCGGACCCGGTGGCTACCCAGGCCGGTCCCAGGCCTTCCTTAATAAAAAAAAACCCGGCCGGGCCCGGCCCAGAATCGGAACCGGGCCGGCCCGGGTCCATGACTAGTACTACCTCCGTCCCGAATTGATTTGCAAATTTGACTTTTCTTGGTCAAACAGTTGCGTTTTGTTCATTTAATTAGGATGCCGATTTTTAATTATATTCTAATTTGGAGTTTACAACTTTGAAGAGATTTTGATGTAGTTTATGAATATGTAAATTTTATTTATTAAAAATTAAATTAATTATGCAGAGGATTGACTTTTATTTTTAGTTGACCAAAAAATGTTGATTTTGAAAAACAAATTGGGACGGAGGGAGTACTTTGTTACGTCGTAACAAACGGGCCCTAAAATTAACCGAGTTGAGTGAGGCGAATGCAATCCATGAAATAGAAATTCAAACCGAGATTTATAAAATTAAAGCCTGAAGCTAGAAAATTGAGCATACATGGAGCATTGATGTCATCTGTGGGTGGGGTTCAAAAAGCATTTCTGTCTGATTAAATCTGTGAAGTGTGCTAAGACAAGATGGCGTGTCTCTCAAGTCCGGTATAAGCGCCTGAAGCTGAGCAAGAGGGACACACAGACAGACAAGAAGAATTGTCTGTTCACACACACACTCTCCAATATCTTCTTCAAAGATTCAAAGAGGAAAAAGACACCCAATAAATAAAGCTGCACTTCTCCGTTCCTGTCCTCTCCGGTTTGGCCGCTTCTCCCTCAGCTGGTTAGCTTGCCCTTTTCTCCCCCACGTCCCACCCTTCAACTTATTTTGCACTGTATGTGCTTGTTTTGGTGTTTTGTGTCCGGGCGTGGTTAACATGTATGCATTTCACATTTGTTTGCTTTTGGAGTTTTTCCATTTCTCGTGCCTTTTTCTACCCTGTTTTCTGCGGAATCAAGAAAATTAGGGGATTTAATGGCAATGGCTAACCTTAAGTTTTTAGCTTACGTTCATGTTTTTGTACTTCATTGAAGAAAATGCCACGTTTTTCTTTGAAATGGTTGTATTCCTGATGTGTATGGTGGTTTGCGCTTTGGATTTTAGTCTGGTAATAGTAAGTGGTAGCTGAAAATTTGTTGTCTTCCTGCACATTGCAACTGGCTTTCTCCTACAGGTCAAACTCAGATTCAGGCTCTGTGGTTGAATCTGGTTAAGAGCATGGCCTTATTCCTTTCTTTTTCTCTAGAGAATTGATAATGAACTTCCCTGCATTTTTCTTTGTTATGTGTAAACCCAGTGCTGAGACTGATTAATTTTCCCTCTTTTATTATTCCTCAGGCTAAAACGGGGGAGAAAGGGAAGAGGCTTTTATGAGATGAACAGCGATCAACACATGGAGATGCATTACATAAATACAAGTTTTCCTTATTGTGTTCCAGAGAACTCCACATACTACTTTGATGGTTCTCAGGCCTATTTGCATTACCCAAATTCTCAGCAAGTTCATAATGAGGTTAATCCTTCGACAATAATGTCTTGTTACACAATAGAGCCGAGAGTCAAAATGGATTGTCTGTTGAAAATGAAGAAAACACAATTTCATGTGTTTGAGGAAAGATTTCAAATCTCAGGGTTACACATGCAAACAATTTAGCAATTTTCATCTTTTCTGAATATTGGCGTGAAATCTTACCCTATCTTTGGTCAACAGGAAACTACTTACTGGACCATGAATATGAATTGGTACAAATTTGGATTTTCTGGAATGGAAAGTTCCTATTACAACCCTTACGAGAGTAGTAACCATTTATCAACGATGGGTCTCACTGAGCAGCAGGATTTGAACTACCATGTCATGACGAATGCTCAAGAACCTTTAGTGGACATAGTAGAGTCAGCATCAGATGACAATGCAGCCCCAAGTTTAGATGCTAACCCCGAAGATAGTGAGTTTAATTTGTTATCAGAAATTGATGCTAGTATCAAAACCATGAAAAGGTTTCAATTAATTGATATTTCTCTTTATCAGTGACTGTTTAGTGCCCGTTAGGTGATAGCTGAAAATCTTGAAATGGTTGAATTGACTGAATTAGGAGACTTTGGTGATTTTTTCAGTTAAAATGATTTATTGGATGTGTAAATACCAAAAAGATATATACTGATATTTATATGGGGCAAAACAAGAAAATGAGGGTATAATTGTCATTTCATTGTGAAAAAAATCAGCCCAAAAAGTAGCAAAATGTCATAATGTTTTTGCTAAAAGGCAAATCAACAGAATCAGCCAGATGTGAGATGGGGGGGGGGGGGGAAGGGATCAATCTTTTAAGGCTTATTATACACACATTTAGACAAACCAAATGGGCTAATTTGTTGGCCCAGCAGCTTAGGCTGTTTTTGATCATTTATACCAATCATGATATTTTTATCATTTAATTTTGATTTCATAGTGTTAAAGAATTTGACAATCAATTCAAAATATAAGTTTCACGCCATCCAGTTGACAAGTTTGGATTATGGTGTTATTGGCAGGGATGATCAATGGAGCTTTCTATGTTTACTAGTCACTGAACTTCTCGTACTCTTGAGTATTTATAGTTTCCTTAGCAATGTTTGATTTCTTTTAATTTTCTATTTTCTGTCTCAGTAGGCAGTCCAGCACAGCAAGATGGCTCTAATGATCAGGTATGGTGCCTAGAAGTAACTCCTGTCCCAAAAAAGAGTCTTGTCTGTAAATCTGTAATATAGCTATCAGTTTTAAAAACTTGACTCTTGTTTTTGGGACAGGCATTTTAATTCATCTGAAATCTTTGAGCAATTTTTAGTCATCCCTTACTATTAACTCAAGTCCTGGGGTAGATCGGGTAAACTGTAGATAGGTTGGCAGCTTGAGAACACGGTGGATGTAGAATTGATCATAAGTTGGATTGAGTGAGACTGTTTGGTATTGTGGTTCGTCCGGTGTGTGATGTAATAGTACTTCAGGTGTGGCTTTTATTTAAAAATAATAAACCTGAGAAAATAACAGATCCAGAACATATGGTTTCCAGGGTGAGGTGAAGGAGGTGAGTAAGCATGATGTTTTGATTGGAACAGGCAAAAAATTAAGAAATGAATCAACGATTTGTTTTGTTTGAAAGGAGAAACCAATGCTTTGAAAGTATTTTTGAAAATAAAAATGGACATATTAAAACCTCTCTTTGTTTTTGTTTGAATGAATTTAAATTCAAAAGCAAAAGAAAGACTGTACGTCTGTATCAAAAGGCTGTCAGCTCTTAGGAGTTAGGACCTTAGGGTGATGATCTCTGACAATTGTCGGGCTAATTTAAATTCTTATGAAGTTCTGCATAGGGACCACCAGTTCATCTTGGGTATATCTGGATAATCTTGAATATATATTATCTTGCTTGTCTTTGACACATAACACTGGTCAAAGTGACTAACTGTAGACAATGATGATCAACACTGGAATGCGGAGTCAAATTGAATGGATATTAGAAGGTGCAAAGAAGGCATTAGTATTATTTAGTCAATGTTAATACTAATGATATACGGAGTAATTATAATAAAGTATACGTGAAGTATTAATTTATATTACAGTGGGGAATATAAATGTGGAATCAGAAAGGACTTTACTTGCAGGAGTTGAATAGAATTCAATGTGTCAACACCTTTTGACTGAAGAAATGGATGATTATGTGCCCATTTCATGTGTATTTTCTTATACGGCATTATTATTTCACAAACTACGGTAGTCCCGAAAATAGTCACCCGAAAATAGTCACGTTTCTAGTATTGTTCCTCATTTTCTGAACATGATTACTTTCCGTGGGATGGAGGGAGTAATATTTTATTAACTAGAACTGCTTGTGTTGTCATTCCACCTCATTCAGTAAATTAGAATTTTATTTGCTGATATTTGGCACAAAAATTATAACATTTCCATGTGCGTGACATTGCAGGTCATTTTGGAAGATGATATTGATCCTGACAACATGACATATGAGGTCCGTTATCCATAGCTCCATACTGTTTCTATATACATCATAGATTTCTGTTTCTTTGGGTAGAGGTTCTCAGCCATTGATGGGAGCAATAGTGCTCAACCGCCCAGAGCGGAATCAAATACTTCTACCACCTACAGTTCATGTTCTTGTATTTAGTCTAGAGAGCTTACACATGATGAATTTGATTTTTTTGAGAGAACATACATATTATGAATTACTACTAATAGGTTAGTAGCTGTGACATTTTTCTTTGTCATGATTATTTTGTAATTCGTAGTATCAAATTTGTAATGGTATACGACTCATCATCCACTTTGGCAGTTCATCACCTTAGAACTAACTATTTTGAGGTCGGTTTCATGATGATGACATTTATTCTATTTCATTTCACTATCCTAGGACATCCAACGGGAAACTGTCACTATGTTCTTTTGTGTGAAAAGCGTGAATTAATTTTTAACAACTAATTGACACTGTATATTTTATATATAGTGTCAATTAGTTGTTTAACTTGAGTTAGCACTTTGAATGCATGCCACTGTCCCCACATAGTTAGGATTAAAGTAATGATGATGAGCTGAGATCTAACATTCGTCATTATAATGCATGCAAATATGGCCTTCGACACCATGTGAATATTATCTAAACTCTCGATTTTCTCTTATCAACCTCTTTGAAGTTGCTTAATCAACTCCATGGTGCTTTTCAACTGTTTTATTTCACATGGGGTGCATCCTTGTTATTTATGAGGATGCAGGATTCATCTATTATACAGAATGAAACTTTGAATAATTGGAATATCAGTATTTGGAAGAGCAGTCCATATTCATAGATGTTCTTTATCTTACTAACCTTAGCATCCTAATTTTTCATGTAGTTTGTAAGTACTTGTGGGAACAAGTGTACTTGTTCAAATCATTTTTTGGTTAATAAACCATCTTGTACAAAGCAGTTACTAATTTATACACACACACACACACACACACCTAAAGTACTTGTATAAACCACATATGGTATGTATACATCTTAAAGTATTTGTATAAAGACTATAAACCATCTCAGTGGGAAAATGACAGCAGATGCTGCAGAGCACATTCTTAATTTTTGTTTTCTTTGCGAAACCTGTCTCTCTTTCACCTGTTCACTTGCTGCAACAATGTGATGCTTTCACGATAATGCATTGGGGATAGAAGTACATGTGCAATGATTGAATGCTTGATATACGATTTAGTCCAATAACTGGACTCATTTTTGTCTACTGTTTGTATGTATATGATTGGAACAAGTTAGACATCGTTTTTTATTTTAAATTTTTATGGTGGCATTTCAGTGGTATTGTGCTAATGCTGGATGCAGAGTCGGAAGGGGTGGGGGAGGTTGGGTCGGTCAACTGTGACCACCTTGAAATAATTTCATCCATGTAGTGGAAAGAAAAAGATTCAATGTGATATTCTCTCTCAAAAAAAAAAGATTCGATGTGATATGTTGTGGGCACCATAACTCACCCTTAGTCAAAAGTTACGATCTTCAGAAATTAGTCTGGTTAAATACATTTAAAACTATCTAACCTTTTGCCTATATGTGCTCCTAATTTCGAATGGATAGTTAAATACATTTGAAACTATCAAACCTTTTGCCTATATGTGCTCCCAATTTTGAACGGATTTTCGGCATGTCAGAGATGAGCTTGTGAGATTATTCCTCTGTTCTCCATTGATTTGGAATTAAGGCTCTGACATGTAGCTCTTACTATTCTAGCTTGGATGTATGAGATTATTTGGTTTCTGCAAATTAGTTTCTGTCATAAGTTGTGGAATTCTCCTATCTGTGCAGGAGCTGCTGGATTTAGGCGAGACAGTTGGAACGCAAAGTCGAGGTCTTCCCAAAGAACTGATCGATCTCCTTCCAACCTCTAAATACAAGTGCAGTTGGATTTTCTCCAAAAAACGATGTGGGGAGAGGTACAATCATTTTGTTTATATGCAAAAGGTTAAACCAGCCATTGCTGAGTTTCAGAAAAGGGATTGTAGTAAGAGAAGCTGTTCTACTTCTTATATTGGTTTTCATTGCTCCCTGAAACCAGATGTGTCATCTGTCAAATGAAGTATAAACGAGGAGACCGACAAATGAACTTGCCATGCAAACATGTGTACCATTCTGATTGTGTCTCCAAGTGGCTGGGCATTAACAAGGTAAGCCATGTGCCTAGTCTCTCACCACAATAAGAAAGTGTGATATTGATGCCTCATGAGGCGTTTAGTTGGCGGATGTAAGATTGTCGTAGGTAATTTGAGACATGAGAATGGAGGAATCACTTATGTAATAGGATTAGCTAGGTATTTGAGATTATAGGAATATAAAATTACTTGGTGTGTTTGGTTGAGATAATTAAAATGCAATATTAATCTGTTAAATATAAAAAATGTATAAGAGTGAAAGAATACGTAATTTAAGGGAATTGGAAAATTACCGAGGTAATCTCATGTTACATATGAAACCCAAGGTAATCAGATTACTCCCAATATCCCCTCATTTTCTTATGTGGTGGTAATCTAAGATTACTGAAGTGAAATCTTAGAACTCGAACCAAACGGTATAATCTCATACTCTGAATTACATTTCTTTTGTAGTCTCACTACTCCAACCAAACGAGGCAATCTGACATTAGCTTCTTAACATTATGAAGGGAATCTTAGATAATTTGTACCAAACACTTTCCTCACAGTTATTGTCTGTTTGATGTGTCAGACATGCCCTGTTTGCAATGCTGAGGTTTCTATTGATGACCAAACCCGCCGTTGAAGCAGAGAGAATTCAAAATTAGAGTGATGAAAATGCAAAGTGACCCAGTGCATTATAGGAAAAGGCAAGCAATTACCTGATGTAAGATATATTATTAGGGATAATTTCTAGTAATTCTAACTTAAATCATTGATTGCCAGACATGCTAAACGGAGGAGTATGCATTGATGAAATGAAACAAGGCATGGAAGTACTATTAGGACAGCCAAAGTAGAGCATTAATACTAGTGTTTATTGTTGCAATAGTTTTATGTCTCCTTTTAAAGGTTGGATTGGTATTTTTTGCTCTTTCTGCTTACATAGTGCGGAGTAGTTAGTTTGTAGTAGTAGTGATTTTTCCTTGAAAGTAAATGCATTTTAAAACATGTGACCTGGGAATGAAAATCTTGTAGAGCAGTGTTGAAGTATTTATTCAAGATCTCTTTCTTTTTCCCAAGACTCAAATGACATCACAGCGGAATTGCATTGTCTGGCTGGGTTTTAACTGCTTATTCAAATGTCTCTCTGCCATTTGAAGTCATTTTACATGTGAAGAAATGAGTAAATTGTTCATCTGCAGAAATGTCATTGTGTATGAGAAGTACAACGTACAAGTCTCCAAAAGCTAGACAATAGCATCCCCTTCATAAACTTTTTTCTTTTGAATTCGAGCATTTATACATTAAAGAACTGTAGATTTGGCCAGACCAAATTTATGACCTTTCAACCCGAAGCCTAAAACACTTTTGTTGTACATACTTTTATACATTCTTGTTGTACACACTTTTATACCCACCTTATATCTATCATGTCTGTGAATGATTCTTTTTGTCAGACAAAATATTTGAGAACATGAACGGGAACATGAACGGGATTCACAGACAACAAAAAAACCCTTACACAAACATGCTTGATACAAAAATGAGCATACGGGTGGGTACAACCAACTTTTTTGAACAAGGAATTAGACTATTAGAGCGAGTCTCTCCGCTGATATAAAGATCACATCAATGAACATAATCTTTTTCTTGAAGGCTTCATCAATCTTACATTTTGAATCAACGTGAACCCTAAACCCTAAATCCAATTTTTTTTGATGATTCTCAATTTGATCTTTTAATATGCATGTTCCCTAAAATAATCCTCATGGTGTACGGAGCTTCTGTGAACTGCTTCTACTTTTGTTTTTTAGAATCATATTAGGATATTAGGATATTTGGATAAAACTACAATTCTAACTTTTTTTTTTACTTTTTTTTTCTCATTTCTTAATTCTTATCCTGTTTTTTCCAAAGTAACATTTATTAAAAATATGGATAGAGATTTAATTATACAAAATATTTATTCAAGTATAAAAATAGGCACGAAGATTAATGCGATTTTGAGTTTTCATAGACTTGCAATTGCGTTTACATGAATAAGAATGGGGAGATCATATATTTATATTGAAAAAATGGCCTGAATATAACTAATTGGCTTTTGATTTAAAAAAATATGAGTCTTTTCAAAATTTCCAAAAAAGTTACCCGACCTTACCTTTCTTCGTTTTACCTTCACGCACGCTGCCTTCAGATCTGCCTATCCTCTTCATTCTCCGCCTCCTAAGTTCCGCCTTGGCCTCTTCCTTGCTCTCTTCTCCCGATCTGCTCCTTCTTCTAGGAATCCGCCGACGACGAGATGCCACCTGCAAGCGGTCCGCACTAGTGACGCCACATCTATCCCTGAGTTCGCGATTGATGTGGCACTCTGGCTAGGGATTCGATGCAGCGGCGCGGCCGGGCTAACGAGAGGAGGCTAGGGCGGCGATTGGGGGCTTTGAGGCAGCGTCGATTTCATCACGCTGGTGCAGGAGCTGTCGCAGAGTGTAGGGGCGGTAGATCGGTTGTATACACGCTGGTCGGGGCTAGATCTGACTGGAATGGGGCTGGAGATTGGATGGGTTGGTCTGTTCGAAGATGTGGAGGGGTGGATCGGGGACGAGGATGGGAGGGGGGGGGGGGGGTCGAGATGTGGCTATGGAAGCTGTGGTGGGGTGGGGGGGGGGCACATGACGGTTGTGGCTGCAATAACCGAAAGTGGTAGTGGGGCGGAGGTCACTGGAGAGTGGTTGGGGTTTAATTTGCTGTTTGAAGCTGGGGAGAGGTAGATCAAGGATGGGGAGGGAAAATGGAGGGGTGGCAGGGGAAGCTAGGGAGGGGGGAATGGTGGACAGAGGCGGCTGGGTTGGTGACTGAGGGATGGGGGTGGTCGGCAGCGGTGGTCTGCGGTGGTGGTAGGCGGTGGCACTAGGGCAGGGTAATCACTGCAATGGTAGTCACTGACGACGGAATCACTGTGGCCGAGTCATTGTGGTCGGAGTCACTTTGGTCGGAGTCACTTTGACCGGAGTCACTTTGGCCGGAGAGTCACTTTGGCCGGAGAGTCACTTTGGCCGGAGTCACTGAGATAGTGACTGACGGCGGCGGTGCCCGCGGCGACGGCGGCAACGACGGGAGTGGTGGTTCTAGGGTCGGCGGTCCGGAGGTGCTGGTGGCTACAAAATATGGACTAGTACTCAAATGTATAAAAGGAATTTTAAAATAATAAATATATGAATAAAAATAAGGAATAAATGACTTTTAGTCACATTTTTAGAAAAATTTAAAGCATGTCACTTTTTTATCTTTTTCATTCATTTTAGTAATATTGGAATAAAAAGGCCATTTATATTTCTATGTTTTTTTTTTATTTTAAAATTTAAAAATGTCGAGTTTTTGAAAGAACGTGATACAATCTAAAAACAAATAATTTTAGATATCGTTCCTACCTAATTCCAACATTAAAATTGTTATATGCAATGTAAATTACATAAATGACATTACTGAAATTTCCAGCTGACTCTCCTCTGGTGAGTTGGAGAAGTACCAACTACCAAGTTCTAAAGCTACTTTCTGAATTTCCCCTCTTCAAAAGATTGCATTTGAATCTTTTTAATGAGTTCAAAATTCGATGAAATTAACTTTGAACTGAAATTAGTCAATACCAATGAACTTTGAATTGCCGGCAGATGGAAAAGTAACTCCTCCCAATCACGATTGCTCTGAATTGATGAAAAGATGGAGACAAAGTACTGCCAAAACATGTACTGTAATGAAAGGAAACAATTCACAAAGCGTTTATATTGATGATTCTCTTCATCATGTACAAGTACAACAAGAGTATAATACTTTTTGTTTCAGGAATAAAAAACTCCCACTTAAAAAACAAAAGGAAAGCTAACCGAGGACAGGACAGTCCGGTGCAGAGATGAACGCATATTAGATAGTAGGCACAAAAAGGAAAGGTAAATTTAACCTAGAGGACATTCAAGTCCGAGAAGTAGAAGAATTGCGGAGCAAGAAATTGAAGAGCCTAGACCAGGCACGCCGGAAACGAGGAAACATTCTGCTAGTGTAGGTTCTCGATTCCCTGCACAGCTCCTCCATGACCTCGACAAAGAGATTCAAGCTTCTGACTGGGGGGATGTACAGCGTTAAAGGCACGGCTGAAAACGCCATGCCGAAGAACATATGCAGCATCTCTCTCTAACCTTTCTTCCTCTTCTTCTTCTTCTTCTTCTTCTTCAAGTCTCCTTCTACCTTTGCGCGAATGCCAGGAAAAAAAGACGGGGCTTCTGGTTTGATAAGGAGCTTCTGGATGTGTAGAGAAGTTTTCTTGTGCTGGGGGCAGAGATGAGAGGGTGGGGGCTGGTTCTCGATTGTGCGGAAGCTATTCGGCAGTGCGGTTTTCTTTCTGGGCGATTTCGTGTTAAAAAACTAGCGGTGGTTGGATTCTAGTCACGGGAAAGGTCTTCAACTTTTACTTTTCCTCTCCCTCATTATACTGCCGACATACACCCATTTTCTAAAAGAAAAAAGTCTTCTATACACAGTTACACACACTTTATTATTGTTGTACACATTTTTTCAAATACATGTGAAAGTTTTGTTCTTGCCTGTCATACACAAGGTAAATATGTTTTCTCACCAGAAAAATGCCTTTACATATGTGTGTACAATAATGAAGTGTGTTCAACAAAATTGTTGTTTCTAGAGCTACGATAGAGTAGAATGTTACTGAAAAGCTCATCCCAAGCTACTGGAGATGGATTCTTTTTTGCCCAAACATAGTTCAACTTGCTTCAATCTCTACTCGTACATCAATTCAACTTATATCGAATTAAGTCAGAAAATGTTACAAACTTCTTGAATTAGTGTTGATTATTTTAGATCCATACAAACGACATTACAATATACATTTATATAGCATTGCTCCATGCATACAACTTATACTTATCTTCTCCTAAAAATATACTAGAAGCGCATATTGCATAATGTTTAATATAATGTTATAAAAGTGTTATGCGGATTATAGGCACTCTTGGCATCTTAAACACACGCCATGCATACAATACAAAGAAAGAAGCACACATACTGATGTAGTTATGGGACTAGGCCCAAAGCCTAATCGGCCCAAGCCCCGAGCTTGGACCATGGGTCCAAGGCCCACAACCTGGAGCCTGCCTACCAGCCCAGCCAGGAGCCTGTCAGCCTGGCCGACCTGTTAATTAGGAAGAGTGACGGTCAAGTAATTAATACGCTGACAAATTATGTATTAATTTCGTATTAATGTTGTAATTAATTTGTCATTATTATTGATAGCGGTTACGATCTGTAAACGCCTATAAAAGGCAAATCATATTCCAAATACTAGGCATGCTATTTCTTGTTATCAAACCTACTTCACACTTTCCATTTCCATACTACTTTCCTAATTCCTGCTTGAGCGTCTAACGTAGCTTTCCTAAAAGTCTATGAGCGTTCTATTTTAGACCAACACATACAACAAGAGAGGCATGTACACGTGGATAACTAACTTAGAACCATCTAGAAGTTTCTAGTTAGTTTAAGTAGTTACAATTCTGTTGTAAACAAATCCTATAAATAGCTTTCTTAATATGAACACTACGCATCTTGTAAACACAACAATGAATGAACTTGACTTTTTCTGCTACTTTCTCATATGATCTTCCTCCATTTACGTAAAAATACTTTCAACTGAGATTTCATGAGGCCCTATGAGGCAATACTCAAACAGAACTAAGTAGGAGTGTAGGACTAATAGAACTTATCTCATCCCAAGTTTAAATAACTCATAGACGTTAAAGAGTCTCCTGATATCTAAGAGACAACTAAGCGATCATTTTAAAATAATGCTTTTATTTTTGATAAATTATAGATGGTTGCACATGCTTGTTTGAACGTATAACAAATCATTGTTTTGTAAATTGTACTCTCTCCGTAACACTCATATCTTCCTACTTTCCCTTTTTAGCCATAGCATTCATATCTTTCCATTTTCAAATTTTCCCATCATAATAGTGTTGGACCCGGGCCGGGCCTAGGCCTGGTCGGTCTTTTGAAGATTGGGGGAAGGCCCG